GAGGCGCCGAAGTATTCCGCCGCAGCACACCCGGTGCCTTCTGTCTGAGAAACTCACGTCTCCGCCGCCTTCCTGGCGGGCCCGCATATCAAACAAACGGACTGAAGAAGGTCTCCCCAGGACTCTGGGGCACAAGGGCAGCCCTCGGTCCTCTCCTCCCCGCTGCCGATAACCGACCCACAGCCCGGAGGCGGCGTATTCCCAGGCACCGCCGCCCCCGCCGGTCTCAGGCCGATGGCGTTGCGGTCCCCGCGGCCTGAAGCCCCCTGGCGGGGGTCATTTTAAGTGGCGGGAAATGCCGACCGCAAGCCCGCAGCTGAGGACGGGGTGGCAGGGTTGACCTAAGCCTTCCTCCCGCAGTCAGCGGTCAGGCCTGAAAACACAGCGATGATGGAACTCCGGGGCCTGTCTTCTAGAAGGCGATGCTTTGGAAGCAGGAAGAAGACATCATTCAGATAGTATTTGGTTCGGTGTGGAAATGACGCGGGCTGCCGGGAGTAGTGGGAGCCGGGAGGGTGCGCAGGAGCGGGCCGGGGCGGGGACTGGCGCCCACTCACCGTCCCGCGTGGGGAGCCCCAGCCCCCGCAGAGGAAGACACTGCCCACGACGCAGGGCGGCACCAGGCCAACTGGGAGACTTACGAGGACTCCTCAGAGGAGGTGACTGTGTGCTGGGGGGGAGGCTGGCGTCCCTGCCTTTGCTCCCTCCCACAGTGACACCTCTTCAAGTACCCTGGGCCTTCACGCCCCCTCCCTGCCCCATCAGAACTCTCCTGGTCTCCCCAGGGCCTTATCAACAATTTGCCCCTTAAAGCAAAATGAAAGCAATGAGCCCTGTCTCCCAGGAGGAGGTAAGCATTTGCATTTCACCTCTAGACTTTAGAGCCGATGCTTCAGTGAAAGTTTGGGTGAAGAAAGTTTGTGAAGAAAGCGTCACACCCCCTTCCCTGATTACTCATAAGCTCAAGGCTATCACTAGGACTCAAAACTTACTCTGGCTCATCTGAGCCGCACCTTCTTTCGGCTGGTCAACCAGAGGACCCTGCTCTGGCCCTTCTCCAGCCATACCCTTCTTCTTGAGTGTGTGGAGCTCAGGCATGCGCCCAGCCAGAGTCCTCTCCCTTCACTTCTAGCCTGTCTTCTGGGGACCCAGGATCCCCATATTCCCTGTCCTTTTCCAGGGCCTGCACTGTCTTCCTCCCAGGGGCAGACTGTGCCACTGTGTGCACCCCGGAGCCCAAGGAGTGGCCAAGGACAACTGTCTTCAGGGAAGATACGGAAAGAGGGTGGGTGCTTCCTGGCATGCCCCTGGGCCCCCTTGCTGCCATGTGAAGGTGCAGCACTCTTAGGAATCTAGAAATCCTAAATGTCAACTTGGCCTTCCTGGTGGTTGTGGTAGAGGTGGGTCTGATGCTGGGTGTATTCTTTAGCTACACCTCAAATCAGGATTTACATTGCAACAGAGTGAAAATTTCAGGGGACAGAGGAAAAGAGAATGGAAAAAGAGAAAAGATGATTTCTTTCTTCACTGAATTCATAAATTTAAATTGTGGCATTGCATCCGGTTTGTGTTAAGGGAAAGATGGTGGAAAATATTCATGAAAAGAAAACGTTTTTCTTCTCAAAATTTGGGGTGTGTGGAATTTTGTTGTGCCCTAAAGTAAAAAAGTGCTTAAAAAAAAAAAGCATATCAAGTGAACATATCAAAAAGACACAAGAGCACTTTGAAGGGGCTCCTACTCCGCTAATCTTGGACAATTTGAACATCAAAATAATTAGAGGGAGTAAATTATAATTCATTGAATAAAATAGGTATCCATCAGTTCATGCTGATATAAATAAATATAGGAAAAGGAAAACTTCTTTACAGTAGAAAGCAAACTATGTAGACGGAGTTATAAAATGATCACTTGGCAAACATCACAGTAATAAATAGTTCAGGCAAGAATCATCAATGGATACTAAAACTCGTAGGTGAAAGTACTACTTTCATAGGAACTCATTTCATGGGAATAGGATATTTACATAGTCTCAGGTATGTCACAACAAAATATTTAGTAATTACAAAAAGAAAAAGCAGTAACCTCACAGTAGAGATACCTGACATTCTGGGTGATGAAAGTTAGCAGCCCCAATAAGGGGATAAACTGATATCGTCTGCCTCCTGCTATGATGCAATAAGTATTCAACATTACTTCTATGCATTCCCTTCCCTGATTACCCATAAGCTCCCAAAATGCAGGACCTCAATCCCATCCTGAGGAAACATCAAACAAACCCCAACTGAGGGACATTCTATTATACAAAACAACTGACCTGTACTATTCAAACTTGTAAATGTAATAAAAGACGAAGACAGACTAGAGACTAAAGAGACATGACAACTGAAGACAACGTGTGACTGCAATGGGATCATGGACTGGAAAAAATTATGGGTTGTGTGTATTTATATTTATATGTGGACATTATTTGGACAATTGGCAGAATATGAATAAGGTCCATAGATTTTAGTGTTGTGTCAATATAATGATATTGATTTTATTATACTACTGTGTTTATGTAAGAGGATACCCTTGTTCTGAGAACAAGTATTTAAATATTTAAACCTAGGGTCAGGCGCGGTGGCTCATGCCTGTAATCCCAGCACTTTGGGAGGCCAAGACGGGTGGATCACCTAAGGTCAGGAGTTTGAGACCAGCCTGACCAACATGGTGAAACCCCATCTCTACTAAAAATACAAAAATTAGCCGGGTGTGGTGGCGGGCACCTGTAATCCCAGCTACTTGAGAGCTGAAACAGGAGAATCACTTGAACCCGGAAGGTGGAGGTTGCAGTGAGCCGAGATCACACCGTTGCACTCCAGCCTGAGCCACAAGAGGAAAACTGCAACTTTCAAATGGTTCTGAAAGAAAATATGTATAAGGAGTAAAAAGAAAGCAAAAATAATGAAGCAAAATGTTAGGAATCTGTATGAAGAGTTTATTAGAGTTTATCTACCTCCCTTAGCTCTCTCTCAATTACCATCCCTGACACATACCCCTGGCTGTCCCTACCCAGGAAAGCCCTTAATCAGCCCTAGACCATGTCTCTGAGGGAGAACAACACTCTTAGGTTCTCACTCATCTGCCTCTTTCTGATCTGCTGGAGACCACAGGGCTCCAGCCAAGTTTTCTAGAAACCTTACTGATCCTTAAGACAAAAATCCAAGATGAGAAAGCCACACAATGGACTTGGGGGTAATAATGAAACTTCAACACCCAAACCACTAGTAATACCAAAAAAAGTTAACCTCCTTAATGACATCTCACCTTTTATACACAATATTTTGTACATGTTCTTCCATTTTGAGCTTTTTTTGGGTCATAATCTAAAAAATTATGCATTGCATTTAAAGTTAACTCTACTATTTTTTGCCATGCCTAATAATTTCCACTTACCTAAATTTTATTTTATTTTATTGCCTTTTTCCACATGTTCTAACTTTTTTGTTTTATTATATTTTATTCTGGATTTTATTAAGATAAGTTATATGATGCCTCAATTGCTTATCACTAGCATCAATGCTTCCAATTTTATATTTCTAGTCATTTTTATAAGGGGGAAAATTCAACAATACACACTATTGCCACACAGGAAAGATGGAGATGCTGCTAAAATTTGCTTGTTGGCTAGTGGGCAACTCCATCATGTGATAGCTCAAAATATACGTTTATCAGCTGATGTAGACAAGTCCAAACTTGGCATTTAAACAGCGGTTTATGGGCCAGTGAACAAGGCACAAAAGGGCATGGGTTTTATGAAACTAGGACTTATAGAAGCAAAATGTCCCATATAAATTGCTAAGAGGTAAAAGTGAGAAGAGCACTTGAAAAGCTACAAAACTAGATTGTGATGCCACTGACATGTGCCTAGCAGGTCTAGGCTTTCTTCTTTCTACTCCCATTCCAACCTGCATAAGTCTGTAGTTTATTTTACTATGCGTGTTACTGCTATTGTTAATTAATATACAAACACATACACACGCAGTCATCCCCAATTGACCATGAAATTATTTTTACAATAAATCATATTTTATCTTTCTTTTTGACCAGCTTCTAGCATAATGCCAGCTATATGTAAGTGTTCAACAAAAAGTTGTGTAATTCTTGAATTATATGAATCAATTATCCTATAACCTGCATCTGGTACCAGATCACTCTTGCCCCGGCCTACTTCAAGTCACTTTCCCAACATTACCCAATAATTTACATCGCTCCTATTTACCAAAATATACACCTATGGGAATTGAAAGGATCAGTGTTTCACAACTCTCAACATGCCTGCAAGTCCAGACTAAACTAAAGACAGATTTATTGATGTATCTCAAATGGAGATACTCTTGATGTGTTTCCTAACTGGAAACCAGGTACTAGTTTCCTGAAAGTCCTGAAAAGTAAGCCAAAATGCAAGTTCAAGGTATCACGGACTGAGCTTAGTGAGGAAGCAGTGGCATAATTTGGATAGGTCCTTAATTTCAGAGTTCTTATTTAAGATAAAAGGAAATAATGAAACTTTTTTTCTTTACCACAAATGAGAAAAAATTCAAAAATAATTTATAATAAGCAAAAGATTCTCTCATCCAAAGAATTAGAGTAAATCATATCATTTTATAGCTAGAAATATATTCTCCAAACTGTTCCAGTTTACAGATGAGGAAAACTAAGATACTGTTTCAGTAAGAGGGTTTTACCTGGGGCAAGAAGGATAGGGACTAAGTCAGGCATCAAAGTACACACCAAAAAATAGAAGACAAATTACTAGAAGCATGATGTGACTTAGTCCTTGTGACACAAACGCTGTCTTCGGATTGTTTTACAAAGCACTAGCCATTTGTGAGTGGCAAGGCAATGTGAAAGAGCTCTGAGGGATGGCAGAGGCTTTCCGGTATGTATTTTATGAATAGCTACGAAGTGATTTATGGCTATGACAGATAAGGAAATAGCAGGGAGCATTTCAACTGACCTTTTCTCCAGCCACGGGAGGTAGGCAAGGCATTCGCATTTCAGGGTTGTAAAAGCCTGACCAAACACATACTGGGGGAATTTCTTCAGCTCAGCCTCAGTCATCCTTCGAAATCCCAGAACCACGTCAGCCCAGAATGGCACTTCTTCGGTAGGCGTGCTCTGAAATATCTGCCAACTCAAACATAGTAAGTGAAATTTTTTTCCTGAAATTTGTGAAATAACATATTTCTAGTAAACTTCACGTGACGTTCTCTAGAGCTTTTATTTATTTTATTTTGTTTTGTTTTATTATATTTTATTTTTGAGACAGAGTCTCACTCCATCACCCAGGCAGGAGTGCAGTGGCACAATCATGGCTCACTGTAGCCTCAACTTCCGGGGCTCAGGCAATCCTCCCACCTCAGCTTCCCGGGTAGCTGGGACCACAGGTGCGTGCTACCACGCCCAACTAATTTTTTAAATTATTTGTAGAGTCAGAGTCTTACTATGTTGCCCAGGCTGGTCTCAAACTCCTGGGCTCAAGTGATCTGCCTGCCTTGGCCTCCCAAAGTGCTGGGATTACAGGCATCAGCCACTACACTTGGCCTAGAGCATTTAAAAATTTTAGTTTCTATAAATACAAAGAGAAAATGATCTATTTTACTATTCTCTTAGGTTCAGATAACTCAGTAGCTAAATAGCAGTTGTTGGTGACTGGGCAAATAAAACATCTTAAAAGTAACATGCTTTATAAGATGGAATTTAGTACTCCTTTTCTAAAAAGCTCCTGTCTAGATTTGGTTGTTAACAAGAAGGTTGTAATAGTACTACTAATAGCTGCTATGCAAATGTTTAGATTTGTAATATTGGGTTGTTTTCATCAGTAAATGAATAAATGTTATAATGCCAGGCATGGTGGCTCACACCTGTAATCCGAGCACTTTAGGAAGCCGAGGCGAAGTTCGAGACCAGCCTGGGCAACATGGTGAAACCCTGTCTCTACAAAAACTACAAAAATTAGCTAGGTGTGGAGGCACAAGCCTATAGTCTCAGCTATTGGGGAGGCTGAGGTGGGAGGATCAACTGAGCCCAGAGAGGTCGAGGTTACAGTGAACTGAACTGGACCATTGCATTCCAGCCTAGATGAGTGAGACCCTGCCTTAAAAAAAAAAAAAAAAAAAAAAAGGTATAAATCATCATTGCTCAAAAATAGCAAGGAAAATAATTGAGTGCTGTGCATAGTTGCTAATAATTTCCACATCAGAATGTGTATATCTCTAGGTAATTGATTCAGAGCAGTCCCCATGAAGGTACAAATGTCCTTTACTGCAGGGCTCTGTGCTGGCCCACTCTTGCCCTGGGCTAGACTGCCCTCTTCCGTATCTTCACCAAAACCTACAGGCCAGACCCTTAGAAGGCTACATTTCCAGTCCTAAGCACTTAGAAGGTTATATCTCCAGTCCATTCTCTCTCTTGAGCTCCAAAAACAGATCCAGACCCATGTTACCTACTCCCCACTGGATCAGTCCACTTAGAAGTCTCATGCATTTACACACACACGCACACACACACACGCACACACATCCACCCTTTTCCCAATCCTACCTAACTCAGAAAATGGTACCCATCCATGCAGGTGCTAATGCCAGAAACCCAAGAATCATCCTTGATTCTCTCTCCCTACTCACCTCTCACACACCATCAACTGACAAGTCCTATCAAATCTCCTCTTAGGCTTTCTCAAGTCCATCCACTCTCTGTTTCTATTATCCACACCCAATCTATCTCATCATCATCTCTTCCCACAAATCTATTCTCCACACTATAGAAAACATATTTTTGAAATGCAATTATGACCAGTCACTTTTCACTGTGTAAACTCCCTCAATGGCTTCCCATTTCTCTGGACTTCCTTCAGTCCCTCCCACACACCACAGTCGCCCTAGACTCAGGGCTAGGTGTATGCTGTTTCCTCCATCTGGAATGCTGTCTCCTTCGTCTCCCACCCTGCCTCGCCCCCACTTCACCTCTGCAACATCGCCAGACTAACTTACACTCTTCCTGACCGTCTTGGATGAAACACTTTGATCTGGATGGCTTCTCATCACTTCCCAGAGCAAGTTTCTTCTCCAGACATATGCTTCCATAGCACCCTAACTTCTTCCTTTTGGTAACGCATGCCCCCAGTGAGTTTGGTAACTCATTTGATTTACTGCATTCTCTACAGACCATAAGCTACATAAAGGCAGGACTGTGTCTGGCTTCCTTAAAAATTAACTCAACACATATTTGTCAAGCATGTACTATATACCAAGCAGTATTACTAAATTGCTCACTGCTATATCCCTAATACCTAAGAAGGAACCTGATACTGAAGAATGCTGAATATGTTGTTTTGAAGGAATAAATAGATGAATAAGCCTATATACTTATGCCAAAGATGCACAGGGCATTTGAATTTTGGACATGGCTGTTTCCAAAAATTACTTAGAGCCAAAATTTGTGAATTAGACTGGCTTATGTTGGTTTTGGACAAAGACAGTATAACCATAAATCAAAGAGAATGTTTTTTCTACTTGGCTCACCAACTGGCTCTAGATTTACTTATACAGAAGAATCAATCCATAGATTGATAGAAAAGCAAAGCTACTACTTTGGGGAGGGGCTTTTGGGAAATTACTGACGTCAGCATCGTCTTGGTGTTTGTGACGGTCAGGAAAAACAAGAAGAGAAAAGAGTAGACATTCACCCAATGCAAGTGTATACACTAGACTAGCAGAAAACGTCAGTGGGCAGCCTGATATTAAAAGAGGAGGTAAGACACATTTTTTCAGAAGGCCACAGAAAGACTGTTATCACACAGATTAACACATGTATGTTACATGTGTAATATGCACCAATGACATGTATGTTATGTCATATGATGAAACTGAGATGTAAATTGAAAGTGATAGAATATTAAGTGATCTCAGTTTAGGAAGATATTAAAAGATGTCATGTTTTAAGTGCTAGTCTTACTAATAAAAATGTTAAATAGCAGTTATTCTCAAATTTTCATTTAATTATGCATGCCTACTGAAATTATACATTAAAAATGAAACAGAAGTGTGCTAACAGTTTCAGAAATATTTTTTTCCAAATGGCACTTCAAAAGGCAAGTTTAGTGACCTACAAAATTTCCTTCTTGGAAGATCTCATTCTCCAAGGACACCGAATAAATAAGAAGTCCCTATCCCTTAGGTCTCTGCAGCCATCCCAGCATCATACCTGTTTGCTTTCCATCGGCTGCACCATCGCCACATCACCCAAACCCAGTATTTACCTCCTACATGTTTTTTTAAACCAAATTTGCAAATCACTGCATGGTCTCTGAGGAAACCCAAAATCAATCCTATCTGTGATGAGAAGCTGTGATTGTTGTTTATTGTTAAAAAGTCTAATACCATAACTTGCCTTTCTTCCGTTCTTTGGGGTAAAGTCTATAATGCTCTTTCTGAATCCTCCTGCATCAAAGTCAGCACTCTGCTCACAGCAGGTACTCAGTAAATATTTTATGTTGAACTCGAATGCCTGTTAAGATTATGCTACGTTCTAAAATAACTTCAAATTTCTTCACTTACCCTGATACCAAATGAACACCAGCATCTCCAGCTTCTGCAGAATTGGCAATTGCAAAGAGGTGGTTAAAGGTCTCTCGGAACCACTGCTTCTGCGTGTGAATGGGTGTGTCTGTAATCATGGAGAAAAGCAAAGTGGAACAGAGAGGAAAATGATGATAATGACAGTGCTTCAAATAAGCTCCTTCCCAGAAACTTGGGAAAAAACTAAGGAGGCGAAAATAAAATAAGGAAGCAGGGAGGAATATTGATATAAAGTGCCACATTGTGGCAGAGGATGTGTCAGCAACAAGAGATTTGCATGTTGACACACGCTGTCCAAATCTGCTCGTATGATTAATCAATGGAGGGAAAACAGGCCAATAAGGTCAAAACCTGGTATGCGAGCCAGCTGGAAGGTGGTTTTTGGTACTAGGTGTATTACAGAGGTCCTTGGCAGGTCTGTAACCAACCTGAGCAGAGCTTAGTTCCTGGCTGCGGGATCCAGCTGGCCACACAGTTGAGACAATAGGATGAAGGACGGAGGGCCTCTTTCTTGGGGGCTGAAAACAGAGTGGATGACATGGGCAGGTCTGTGGGGACCAGGCCAGCCAGGACAGAGGACAGACTGCACCTCGATGGGGAGTCCCAGGGGCTTGCCTCCTGGTACAAGAAAATAAGGCTTGCATGCTGGAGGCGAGCCCCCTGCAGGCCAGACTTCCCAACAGGGGCTGCCATTACCCTCCACACCATGGAATCAGGTGCCAGCCAGAGTAGCACTCCTGAGGCCAGCAGGGGCATGCAGGGACTGTACCATCCCCCAGGCACCTCTGCCAGAGCACACGGGGTCGGACCCAGACACAACTTTTGGAAGAGTGCCAGGCCTGTTGGGGAGGAAACAAGAGGCCTTGAGGTTTAAGCCTCAAAATAATAGTGTCCAGTGTAGGCACAGAGATAGCAGGAACGACCTAAAATCACAGACAAATCCAGCTGTGGCTGAAGTATGTGGCCGTCTGATTCTTGTGGAAGGATCATGAGAGAGTGGCTAGGGTTAGGTTAGGGACCAGGGAACAATAAGCCTCAGGGGCTGCTATGAGGGAAGCCACAGAGGAGACGAGAGAACTGAGGCAGAGAGGATGCTAAGTTGGTTTCACTTGGAGAGGTGTCCCTGAAATTCAAGGAACAGATAGAAAGACCTTTGGAGACATCCTGCTTCCCAGGCAAAGCCCCCAGGTCACTGAAGGCCTGTCAGTAGCGGGATTTTCAGACAATTCGCTTGTTATAGAGCCAATAAATATTTCTTTAGTAGCAAACCTGTACTGCCCATGTGAAATTAACACTATATTCCAAAATTTCACATTGGGGATGCTGCTTTAGAAATAAGGGATAAATAAAAAATAAGCTGCAGAGGGAACTAAATTAGACCACAAATAGATTTTACCCAACAATCTATGCCAGTGTATGAGGTTGTACCAAAATGCAACTCCCTGTTCTCATCCCAAACCTTACAAACAAAATAGCGACTGAGATTCACATGCTGCAGAAGTCATCCCAAAGAACAGACAATTCCCATCCAACAGTGGGTCTAGGAAGCCTGGTGACCTAATTCATGTTCAAGTGCTGCTAAAACAGAACTATAGCTGGAATGGTGGGAACAATAGCAAATGCCGATATAGTGCTTACTATGTGCCAGGTACTGTTCTAAATGCTTTTCATATGTCAACTCATTTAATCCCCACAACAACCCTACAGATCAGGCATGGTCCCCATATGGTATTGACATTTATGAGCACAGGAGATAGTTATGACTGGGCTCGTCTGAATAGTGTGTAGGAAAGAAACCCAAAGAGAAGACCAAAGTCTTTATCTAGTAGCACCACAGAGAGAAAAACCCTGGTCCAGGAGACCCAGCCACCTGGCCAAAGAGAGAACTCGGGCCTCGATGGCCCTGTGAACCCTCAGATGAGCGACCCTCTTTGAGGGATGATTCCATGACTAACTGGCAGCCTTCTGAACACTCACTTAGGCCTGATGCAGGCAAAGGAGAGCCTGGAAAATGGTCCCAAGAACTCTCATCAAAAGAAAAGCACTTAGTGTAAGCTGGTGTATTCGTCTGTTCTCACGCTGCTAATAAAGACATACCCGAGACAGGGTAATTTATAAAAGAAAGAGATTTAATTGACTCACAGTTCAGCATGGCTGGGGAGACCTCAGGAAACTTACAATCATGGTGGAAAGGGAAGCAAACAAGTCCTTCTTCACATGGCAGCAGGAAGAGAAGCATGAGAGCCGAGCTGCACAAAAGGGGAAAAGCCCCTTATAAAACCATCAGATCTCCTGAGAAATCACTCACTATCATGAGAACAGCAGCATGGGGGTAACTGCCTCCATGATTCAGTTACCTCCTACCAGGTCCCTCCCACTACATATAGGGATTATGGGAACTACAATTCAAGATGAGATTTGGGTGGGGACATAGCCAAGCTACATCAGCTGGCATCTGGTGGACACACCAGGTGCCCATGTTTGTTTCCTGGGAGGCAGTTCCCAGGAGCTGACCAGCCAAGTTCCTGCACCTGCAATGCCAAGGTCCCTGCCATTACCACCCTAATAAAAGCTGTGTCTATTCTTTCTTAGGGGTCTTTGGACTGGAAAATACCAAGCACCAGCAAAGGCAGGGATGCCATGCTGAAAACAGGAGGGTTAAGGAAATACATGCAAACTGGATGCTAGGACCCCAGCCTCTTCCCCTGTCACCTTCTAGAATGCCAGCTGGCATCTGGGCCTTCACCTTCCCCAGGCAGGACATGGAAGCCTCTTCCCTGGGAAACATGACCTGCCCAAGAAGAAAAACTTAAACTGTGTGTCTCACAGATGTCCCCAAATAAATGGCCCTGCCATCTTACTCCAGTGAGCTCATTGGCAACAAGCCGTACGCAAACACTGAGAAATTCCCATCTGCTCTTCAGAGTCCCACTCATCAACATCAGCAGGCTGGTAAAGAATACCACATGGCCAAGAAAAACCTCTATCATGAAAAATGAGAAAATAAAAAAACAAAAACAAAAAACACCCCACAGTTTGGAGATGACAGATACACAGATACTATTCAGGGAGAAAGTTTTTAAAAACTGTTATTAGTATCTTCATAAAGATAAGAGAGGACATTGCAACCCTCTAACACAAATAAGATGTTATAACAAAGGAAAATTCAGAGAACAAAAAAGAGCTTTGGAACATTAGAAATGTTATAGTAGAAATAAAAAATTCAATAGCAAGGTAAAAGATAAAATTGAGTAAGTCTCCCAGAAAGTAAAACAGAGAGAGATAAATAGGAGGGGGAGAAAGCTAAAAGAATTGGAGGACCAGTCTGGGAGGTCCAGCATATTAACATTTCCAGAAAGAGGGAAACGGACTTTGGAAGGGAGGAAGTTAACAACTGAGTAACTCAAAGATTGCTTCTTAAATTGAAGAACAATAGTTTCCAGATTAAAAGGACAGGGCAATTTTTATATTCCAGATTGCTGGGGTTTGCAATCAATGTTGTAACCTATTCGATGGTTTAAACTATGGGCATATATAACTTTGATAAAAAAAATAAAATTAAAGAGGAAAAAGAGAGTGGAAATGAGGAAATGGGGACAGTGAGTATGTATCTCATTACTGCAACGTGATTTTGGTTTCTATTTAATGCTATTTTCTTCCTCCTCCATTTCAAGTGGAAAATATGGAAAGGAAAGGATGCATGGACATGTTCAAAAATCAATGCATTGGTGGGGCATGGTGGCTCATGACTGTAATCCCAGCAATCTGGGAGGTCAGGAGTCTGAGACCAGCCTGGTCAACATGGCAAAACCTTGTCTCTACTAAAAATACAAAAATTAGCTGGGCGTGGTGCCACATGCCTGTAGTCCCAGCTACTCAGGAGGCTGAGGCATGAGAATCTCTTGAACCCCAGAGGTGGGGTTGCAGGGAGTCAGGATCGTGCCACTGCACTCCAGCCTGGGTGACAGAGCAAGACTCTGTCTAAAAAAACTAATAATAATAAAAAACAAATCCATGCATCTCAGGCCTTAATACATATTGACTAATTATGATTGACTGATTACGAACGTACTGATAATTGTTCTTATACAGGCTTAGAAGTTGGGATAATTTTAGCTCCATTACAAGTAATTTCTGACTTGACAGTCATTACTGTTATCAGTGGAAAGAGAGAGCCGCCAATCATGTAGTCGTCAGTGCTGTTCATCGCACGCTTCTGCTATCCATCTTCTGGGAACTACAGAATCACACTTGCTGGCCTCCTGCTGAGTGTGGAGACATGTGGCCTACTCTGCCAATGAGCCATCATCAGAAACGTTGAAAGTTGCTTCCTGTAAAGTGTTTAATCACAGAGGTGAGAACCTCAGAGGTCCCCGCCCCTCCGTCCCTGGGCACAAGCTCTGATGACAATCAGGATGACATCTGCTCCATCGGCTTAGGTCCCTGATGACAAGCTGGCCCCTTGCTGATGCTCAATCCACATGTAGTGTGAGCAAGAACAAACTTTTGTCTTTTAAGCTGTTAAGATTTGGAGGTTGTTTCTGTCCTGCGGCATAACTGAGGCTGTCCTAAGAGATGAACCAACAGGATGTTAAAACTGCACATTACGGCCAAGCATGGCAGCTGGAATCCTAGCACTTTGGGAGGCCAAGGGGGATGGATCACTTGAGGCCAGGAGTTGGAGACCAGCCTGGGCAACATGGCAAGAACTTGTCTCTACAAAAATACAAAAACTAGCCAGGTATGATGGTGTGCACCTGTAGTCCCAGGTATACGAGAAGCTGAGGTGGGAGGATCATTTGAGCCTAGGAGGTCGAGGCTGCAGTGAGCCAAGATTGCACCACTCCACTTTAGCCTGGGTGACAGAGAGAGACCCTGTCTAAAAAGAAAAAAAAAAAGGAAGAAGAAAGAAAAAAGAAAAAAAACCCTGCATATTACACTTACATCTATAGCCAGCTGTCTTTGTCAACAGAATTCCATTAACATCATTCTATCTGACATCTACTGTATCTGATAGAGGAGCTGAAATCTCTCACCTGGATAAGTGTGAGGAATAAGCATTCCGGCTGCCACATCGCTGGTGGTATCTGGAGTAAACTTGTCTGAAATGATGGTAACGGAGCACTGGGGCACCAGTTTGGAGATACACACAGCTGTGGAGAGCCCCACCACACCTGCCCCGACAACTGCAATCCGTGCTGTGTCCATGGGCCTGTGACGAGGGAAATGGGGACTAGACACCTTGTTTTGAGGATTTTCCCAACCAGACAAAGTTTGGCCTTGACAGTTTTTTCCTTAGGTCTTCAGCCACTTGGAATAAGACTTAGCCTATCGGTGTTTCTTATGGGATAAAGATAGTATCCCTATAAGCTTGCTTTCCATTAAATATTGGGGTATGGGCAACAAGGTGTCCATGGGCTTTTAGAGAGTAGCACAAAACTGGCTTGGACTTGCCTTTAGAACACCCAGCCAGTAAGTAGGTCTGCATTTGGAGGGAGTTTTCTAAACATTCTTCCCCCTTTCCTTTTTTTTTTTTTTTTCTGAAATGGTGTCTTGCTCTGTCACCCAGCCTGGAGTACAGTGACGAGACCTCGGCTCACTGCAACCTCCGCCTCCCAGGTTCAAGCAATTATCCTGCCTCAGCCTCCTGAGTAGCTGGGATTACAGGTGCCCACTACCACACCAGATTAATTTTTGTATTTTTAGTAGAGACAGGGTTTCAGCATGTTGGCCAGGCTGGTCTCGAACTCCTGACCTTGTGATCTGCCTGCCCCAGCTTACCAAAGTGCTGGGATCACAGGCATGAGCCGCCGTGCCTGGCCTCATCCCCCTTTCCTTAACCATTTTCCCTATAGGCACAACCTAGGGAAGGCTGATGGAAAACCACAGAGCTGTAGTCTCTGCTCCCAGAACTACCTGAGGAGCAGTGGTGAGCGGCATGATCCATGAGCAACTCAAAATTCAACTCTGTCTACAAACTTGTTTCTAATAATAAGGACATTACAGAAAGTTCCAGCAGCTGAACTCAGTCTCCTCTGCCATCTGCCACTGTCACCAGTTCCCTCTCTGTCCTGGACTGGCTCTGTAACCTGAGGAGCAGCCCGTGGTCTCCTAGCCTCCACTCCCTCATCTGTAACACAGAACAAATGGATTACTTGCTCCTTTGGGTGGTAAATAGGAGAGACCTAGTGAGGTGGTCTCATAAAGGGGGCTCCTTGGGAGAGTCCGAATGGAAATACAGGGGACAGACATCCCGGAGCCCCGGCCGGGTGTTCTGGGGCTGGCACCCGGTGTCCCACCCCTCACCCATGGAACCTTGCTCCACTGTCAGCATCCCCACACTTTGCTTCCCTGTTCTTGGCTTTCCCCATCTGCCTTTGCTTCCCTGTTCTTGGCTTTCCCCATCTGTTCTTGCTCTGACTCTCTCTGTATGGCTCAGGTTTAAACTCCAGAGAGAGAGAAAATGCAATTGTCCCAGTTGGTCATTGCCACCCCTGTTGGAGAAAATTCTAGCAACAGGCCAGCTTGCTGGGCTCAACCAGCCTCTGAATCTGACTTTGGCATAGTTGCCCTTCTCTGTCCAAAGCACAGTAATCGGGGCACTGGAGGCCACATGGTACAAACCATGGCCACCCACACACAGAGGTTCACCTTTCCTCTGGAAGGGAGGGCAGCTTCCTCAGCACGGGCTGTTGGCAGGAGAAACGTGGGCTTGGTTGTTAGTGGCCTCTGCTTTCTCTTCCAGTTCTGAAGATTCTCACACTATGAGACTTTAAAACCCTCCAATGAAATTTAGTGTGTTATTCCTATTCCTCGAGCAGTCTATGCATTTCTGTGTTAATTTGATTCATTAATTTGATTGCTGTACAGTGGGCTGGTTAGCTGAGAGAGAGCGGGCCTGCCAGGGCTGAGGGAAGAGAAGGGAAGGGGCCCAGGCTGGAGCAGCCTGGTGGGGTCCGGCTTGAGGAGCGCAGCCCTGCAGCCACCGATGTCCTTACTGGCTTCGCTGTTTCACAGCGGCCTCCCGTGTCCAGAAACTCTCTCAAAACAGCTCTAATCAGCTAAGTTGAAAGAGCAAGCAATCTGTGGCTAAGAATAACCAGCTGCCAGGGAGGAGGAGTGAGCCAGCAACGTGGTGTGTCCTAGCACAGTGGCCTGTCCATCACTGTCCCCTGACCCTATTCACACCCCCAAACTCCCAGAGCACGGGCAGAACGACCCCTCAGCTGAAAGCAAGAATTCAATTACCTGTCTCTGAAAAAGCAGTCTTGGAAGCCACCAAAGTCTCTGGCACCAAAACTTGTTTTGCAGTGCCTGGCTGGTCCCGTGCCCTGAGACAGAGGGAAAGCGAAACTGCTTCCCATTGGTGACTTGATTCAGGACATTCCCCCTGGTCTTCCTTTCCATTGGCCTGCACAGCTGTCTCTGTCATCCATTGCCCTGGAGAAAGGAGCAAGTGACCTCAACCTGTCATCTCCATGGTGCTGTCTCTGCCAAGCCCTTCCCTTTCTGGCCCGCGAGCCCTCCATCTGGCTGCCAGCCTGGGCTTTCTCCAGCTGATTTGTAGGTATGGTGAATAATAGGTGAGCCTGTCCAACTTCCAACCTCGTTTGGCTGCCCACAGTTAGCCGGGTGCCTGGCTCTGCTGGGTCAGCTGGTGAGGAAGCAATAAGGAGGGGGTGAGGGCTGAGTAATGTTGTTGATTGATTGGAGCTGGAAGCACTATTCAGGAGATAATCTAGGATAGAACCACATGATTCTTTAGCCCAGGAGTCCCCAGCCTTTTAGGCACCAGGGGTTAGTTTCGTGGAAGACAATTTTTCCACAAACTGGGGATGGGGATATGGTTTCAGGATGATCCAAGTGCATTATATTTATTGTGCACTTTATTTTTATTATTATTACATTGTAATAAATAACAAAATAATTATAAAACCCAACATAATGTAGAATTAGTGGGAGCCCTGAGCTTGTTTTCCTGCAACTAGACGGTTTTCTCCAGAAGTAATGGGAGACAGTGACAGATCATCAGGCATTAGATTCTCATAAGGAGCATGCAAACTAGATCCCTTGTGTGTGCAGTTTACAGTAGGATTTGTGCTCCTATTGAATCTAGTGCCTCAGCTGATCTGACAAGAGGCAGAGTTCAGGCAGTAATGCAAATGATAAGGAGTGGCTGTAAATGAAGATGAAGCTTAACTTGCTGCCCCATGGCTCACCTCCTGCTGTGAGGCCAGTTCCTAACAGAATACGAACCAGTAGTGGTCTGTGGCCTGGGGATTTGGGATCGCTGCTTTAGCCCACATATTCAAAGAAGGGATTCAATATTTGATGAGTGTCTACTGAGCTCTAGGCATGAGCTTTAGCTCTAGGCATCAGTTAACAAGTTTGTTTACAGGGAGGCAGTGTCATGTGTCAAAATAGTGACAATAAGATTTTCAATAACATATATTTAGCATTAACCACGTGCTAGACACACGTATGACATCAAGTATCACAACCACCCTATGAAGTAGGTACTATTATCACTATCCCCATTCTATAGATGAGTACATTGAGACTCTAAGACAGTAAGAAAGGGGCCCAGGGTCTCTTAAATGGTAAAATCAGTCTGGGTATCTGACGTCAAGGTTCAAGCTCTTTTTTTTTTTTTTTTTTGAGACGGAGTCTCGCTCCATCTCCCAGGCTGAAGTGCAGTGGCGCAATCTCCGCTCACTGCAAACTCTGCCTCCTGGATTCATACCATTCTCCTGTCTCAGCCTCCTGAGTAGCTGGGACTACAGGTGCCCGCCACCACGCCCGGCTAATTTTTTGTATTCTTAGTAGAGATGGAATTTCACCACGTTAGCCAGGATGGTCTCGATCTCCTGACCTGGTGATCTGCCCACCTCGGCCTCCCAAAGTGCTGGGATTACAGGAGTGAGCCACCGCGCCTGGCCAAAGCTCAAGCTTTTAACCAAAGCACAAACTTTGGTGTGAGGAGACCTGCATTTTTACCTTGAGCAAATCACCTGACTTCTGGGTTTGATTGCCCACCTGAAAAACAAGAATGAACTAAGAATCCCTTGCAAGCTGTTGTAGGTCTCTGATAAGTTGAGATAGGTCCAATTCTTTGTAAAGTGGTCTGAGGGCCGGAGCGGGGGTGGTGCGGGAAAGCAGCTTTTTCTCCGGCTATGCTCAATACTGTCACAGTCACTGAATAGAGAACACTTCCTGTGACTGGGTGTGTGGGGGTTGGCTCCCTACACACTAAGCATCCCATTCTGCAGATTGCCTAGCAGACACTGCAGCTGCATGTCCTCTAATTCAATTCAATTCTAACACCAGCTACCTGGAGAGAGTGTCAGATCCCACAGGTTGAGGGCTCAGTCCCACAAGACTTACCCTACTTCGGATGCCAATCACAAGCCCCAGGTTGCGGGTTTCTGACTGATGGGCTAAAAATCAGGGTCCCTACAGGCCCCTTTTCAGGTTCAATTAACAATGGTTCAATTTGGTAGAGTGGCTCCAGAACTCAAGAGAACACTTTGCTTACCTTTACCCATTTATTAATATGGATATTACAAAGGATACAGATGAAGAGCCATGTGGAAGAGACGGCTAGGGCTAGGCATGTGGGAAGGGACAAGAAGCTCCCATGTCCTCTCTGGGGGCACCACCTCCAGGAAGCTCCACGTATGGAGCCATCTGGAAGCTCCCCAAACACTGTCGTGTTTTTCTTTTTTTAATGAAAGCTTTAATATGTAGGCACGATGGTTAAAACATTGGCCACTAGTGGCCAACTTAACCTTCAATTCCTTCTCCCCAGAGGTTGGGGATAAGGCTGAAAGTCCCCACTCTCTAATCATGTCTTGTTGTTTCCAGATGACCAGCTCCCATCCTGAAGCTTACTAGGGGGCCCCAGCCACCAGATATCTCATTAGCATACAAAAGACGATCTTATCACTCTGGAAATTCCAAGGGTTTTAGGAGTCATATGTAAGGAAACAGGAATGAAGACCAAATACATAGTTCCCAGTATCACAGGTGGTATACATATTTTATTGAGCACCTACTATAAAAAATCAATCAACAAACATTTACAGAGCAGTCACTTTGTCCAAGACATACTGCAAGGGTTATAAAAGATTTAAGAACTTCTGAGATGTTTTCTCCCTCAAGAAAGGAAACAAGGCAGAATAAGATTGTCCTCTAACCAACAGCACCTACTGCAGGTGCTGTGAAGGATCAGGAGAGAGAGGAGTATGGTGGACTCCAGTGGCCGGTCCAGGAGCATAAATGGGAAGTGAGGAAGGCCCCAAACAATCAGTGGGATTTGGATGGACAAAGAAGAGGAGGGAGAAAAATCTCTGGAGAGACAAAGCCCCAGAGGCAGGAAGTTCAAAGTGAGCTGAGGAAAGAGTGGGGGGTTCATGTGGAGGCTTGTGCAAGACCAGGGTGTGAAAGTGCTGGAAATCTGGCTAGGATGCAAGACTGTGTGCAAAAAGCAATGGGAGCCACGGAAGAGATCTGAGAAGGCTCTTTCTTCCCCTGGCACATGTTAGGATTCTATGTTTTCCTGAAAAGCAACAAGAGGAGAACATACTCAGAAGTGAAACCCAGAAAGAAAGCTTCTCTGTAGTAGTGCAGAGTCTATACAGATAGGACTAATAAGCCCTTTTTTTTTTTAAACACAGAGCTGTAGCACTATGACTTGAGTGAAGGGTCCTTCAGAAAATGGATGGGAAAATTGATTTAGGTATCATTGAGGATGACTTTTAAAAGGGACCTCAGGAACCACCTGGGGAGAATCTAGTGTTATTGCTATCCAGGTGAGTGGTTGGGGTCCAAAGAATTGACGTGATCTCCCTGAGACTGCAGGGCAGCTGGGCTTCATCATCTTCCCAACACTTCTTCAGAGACTTTTAAACTTAGGCTGCACAGGTCCCCAGGGCCTCACCTCTGCAGCACATTTAGGGTTTCCCTAGCCGCCCTCCCCCTCCTGCTGTGCTCCCCATGGGTGTTCTTGGCTCACAGGGTGTTAGCTTTGCTGGTGTGTCCGTGGCCAGTAAATGCAGGACCTAAGCCTGTATTCTTTGGAAGACTATTGAAGATACCAGGCTCAGGCGCCAGGGATTCCCATGTGTACAGCAGTTTGGGGCAGGGAAGTAGGACAGTGAAATCATCCTCACAGGATTAATGAGATTATACACCAGGCTTTAGGGAGAATTCTAGTTAGACATTGACCAGAGTGGGTTGGTGTACTTTTGAACTGCTTCCCTGAAACTGCTAACTAATCAAGAATCAGGTAGCATGCTGATGCTGACCACCTGCTCCCCCAACTTGTTGCTACAGGTAAAATCCCTGACAGTGGATCTTTTTCCCAAGAATTGCTTAAGGTGTTCTTCAGATCCTCAATTCCAGCAGAATGGCTGACACCAACTGGCATGGGTGAACCCAGAGAGAGGCCGGGAATTTTTAAAAAATTAACTTACTTAGAGAACAAGCAGTTGTCAGTGAAACGCTGGTGCACTGTAGACTTCAGACATAAAAACAGCAGCCATCACTGACTTCTGGCAAATTCAGGTAAAACAACAAACATCCAAACTTCCAGATATTCTGTTGGGGGAAGTTGCCAAAGACATTGGCTGCCGTAGTCAACTTTACCATCTTCGATAAGAAAATGTTCCTCTACACCATGTAAAAGATTTTATTAAGTACCCCCTTGCCTACACTGTTTTGCATTTAGTATGTTTTCATTACGTATTTGATAGGAGTGAGAGAAAGGACACAGGTGGGCCCCTCAGAACAGAGCATTTAATTGAGTATATTCAGAGCATATTTTGAGTGTGAACCTCCCTAACAACATACCTTTTAACAGTGATTCAGGGGACGGATTCAGCTTTTATGGGGTCTGAAGTTTGTACAGTTTCAAGAGCCCTCTTTAGAGGAAAAAAATACAAAGTCACAAAAGAAAAGAATGCCTGTGACCACTTTGATGCCATGTGACAGAGGAGGAATGTGATAGAAGGAAAAACCAAATGGAAAAAGACAGTGGTCTCAGCTGACTGTAGTGACTAGATCTTACTTTTGCAAAATTTACAAAATTCTGTGAAAGCTTATGTCCAAGTGGACCTATTACTAAGCTCCATCACAGGAGCCTGTCCAACTGAAGGGGCCTGAAGTGTATGCGTCATTAGCTTCACAGTCTTTCCTGCAGCTATCATGGATGGAAACTAAATACCAGAGCACAAGGGAAACTGCAGAGGTATCTCCAGGTAGCTAAACTGCAGAGTCCATGAGGGAAGATAACAGCATGTGGTAGGGCACAGTCAGGACAGCGACAGCATGT